ATTAGACATTTTTGGGGGGGATTTTGGATTCACAGAAATGCCTTTTTTTTCTGCTTTCTAAACACAGATCAAGCCGGGAAAGTTCCATAATGGTTTGTTCAGCTGGCTATACACCTTTTAGATTTGTGTCTTTCAACCTTATGGGCTGAATGAGCGAAATCTACTAGACATGTGCAGGGCAAAAAACATTTTCATTTGTTTCGGCAACGGAAACAAATTTTAGTGCTGTTTCGGATTTGGAGACAACGAGCCACTGAATTGGAAACTGCAGAACGAGCGACGCCTGTATCGGCTGCCAGCTCGTTCTGCACATGCGTGCCACCTTTAAGGCTGGAGCAGCTGTGCATGGCAACCAATCAGCATCCACCTTTCATTTTCAAACCTTAACATCTTGGTGTATGCCAAGACATACTCCAAAATGGCAGTGCGCAAGCGCAGAACTCAGGTGGACGATTTGTCCGCCACTCGTTCTGCATGACATGTGACATTGTGCATTCCGCCTCCAAGATGGCCGCGGGCATGCACAGAACGCACCAGCTGCCAATATGGCCACCGCACGTTCTGATAACTAATTTTTATATGCCCGAATACTGTTTTAGTATATTCGGGCATATAAAAAAAATTCCTCGATTCGGTGACCCGCCAAATCAACTGAATTTCGTCGATTTTGCAGGTTCGTCCGATTCCAAATGCACGTCTAAAATCTAGCGTCCACGTTATACAGCGTGGATGAAGGTTTCTCCCCTGCTGGCTGTTATATTCAGGAGCCGGCGGCACCCGCAGCTGCTCAATACCCAAACATCTGATGCAGTTGCTGTTCGGGTGACAATTTTCCACCCGGCTCCCTCCGCAAAAGTTGACTGCAGTAATCCTGACAGGTGATGCCATCACGGCCACCCGCAGCTCAAATCCAGGGCAGCCATCGGGGGTACGGCCGATACTCATGTAAGGGGCCCGCCCGGAACCCTTACATGAGTATCGGCTGACGGTGAAGAGCGAGGAGGCGGACAGGCCCCTGCAGCGGAGGCCTGGCCCTAGCAGCGCAGGGCCCCAGCATTGCCGCTCCATCGGCTTCAAGACAAGACCAGCGGGTCACGAATCCCTGCGTCCAGCGGGTCACTCAGCCCTGTGGCGGGGCATGCGTGGCATTTATAGCATGCTGCCTGTGAGTCAGAGAAAGGATGCTTCCCTCTGAGGCTTCTCACATCAATTTCCCTTACATTCTGCAGGAGGCACTAGCAACAGTGACACCTACAGGGAAAGGAAAGGTACTACTTGTCACAATCAAACTCAAAAAAATATGGAGACCATGGCTGACTTCCTTTGGAAAATGGTACTCGCCTGCTGTCTCTGGCCATTCCTCTGGTCCCTAAAGTCAGAATAAAGTCTGGATCTGCATACATGTTTCAGGCCCATGACTCATTGAAGCTTGTTCTGTTTGCAACTTTTTAGTTTTTCTCCCCAAGCCCTGGTGAAGGAGAATGAGATCCCACGAAACATGTTGGCTGTGTATATGGATTTTTTTAAAGCTTGGGGCAACCCAGCCTAGAGCCCAAGCTGCAGGCGTTCCCTTGCAGTAATCTCTTTTCACCACAAGATGTCCTCAGTCTTCTGGGTTAAATGTCACATGGGGTAGCGTTATTAATAAATGACAGACCCTCTTTAAAGCAAAGCTGTATCCTTCCCATGCAGGACAAAGTAATATATTTGCTTGCAGTATACCACCTCTTTACCCCCCGGCAAATGTTGTGTGATGTAGCCCCTAGAGCAGGGTAGGCAAACTTCGGCCCTCTAGCTGTGGTGAAACTGCAAATCCCATTGGACATTGCCAGACTGACAAAAACAGCCATGAATTCCAGAGGCACGCGCATGATAGAATTTGTAGTTTCAACGCAGGTGCAGGGCCGAAGTTTACCTACCGCTGCCCTAGAAAAAGCCCCTGTGTACGTTCAGGGTCAACCCAGGGTCAACGCATCTTTCCTGCCCCCATGTGACAGTGCTTGGGCCAAGCCATTGGCTGCTTAGACACCAAACATTGCATCTAGGAAGAAAGGCAATTGAGTCACATGCTCCTCCATAACCTATACCAGGCATTTCCTAAGGCTCCAGTGAGCAGCAAGGGGAAGGTATGTGCCAGCCATGCAGGGGATGGGCTATCAAGCAACTCTGTTTCTGGGCCCTGCATGGGCAAAGCACAGGTTCACTTTAAGGGTGAGGCTGATACCTCTGGCAATCGAATGTCTACTAAAAGACATCAGGTTAAAGAGGAAGAACATTATTTTCTTCTCCCCTGCCGAGTAGTTTAGATCAGGTGTAGGCAACCCTAGCAGTCCAGCTGTGGTGAAACTACAAATCCCATGAAGTCTCCACCTCTTAAAAATCATGCGTGTGGCTCTCAGAGTCTTGAAATGCCTCATGGGACTTGTAGTTCCACAACTGGACAGCCAAGTTTGCCTACCCCTGCGTTAGATCATGTATGAAAATCCCTGCTTTGTTTAAAGGGAACCCAATACCTACAGAAGACAGCTTCTCAGAGGCGACCAGTGACGTCTTCCAGACATTTTATTGTGACATACCTCTGCAGAACACTAGAAGACATTACACAGTAATGAAGGCAATCTTACTAACTGCAAGTACACAGGCTTTGTATGCGAGTGAAGGCCAAACCCTCGAACAACACAGTCTGAACCGAAAAACTCAATCTGACCATTAAACAGGAAGGGACCACAGGTACAGTGCTGTGTATGCAGGTGGCCACACTGGACTGCAACAGGGGCCTGTAGCTGCATCTCCATACACAGTACCATAAGGCTGGATTCACAGCTTGGCATTTTCCGTTGAAATGAAGGGAAGTGCAATAAAATGTAGAAAACAAAAAGTAAATGGCATTAAAATGCATCTATGTCAACGTGCATTTTGTTGGAGTTCAATGGCAAACGCATCAGGCAAAGGTGTGAAGGGCCTCAGAGGGGCTTTGCATTGATTAAGACAGTCCAGGCACGATTCTGCTAGTCATCCCAAGCACCAGCCATGCTCTGCACAGGACCTTACTACTTGCAATGGTGGAAACATGCTTATAGGCACCAATGCTGAGATCCCAAGGGAGCCATAGGTCTGGTCCCAGAAATTAAAATAATACTAAAACAACACAAAATGTTAAAAATGATGAGTCTAAGATGTCGAAACACACAAAAACGAGTGCACCTTTCAAGCTCAGAGAGGGGAATTTATCAAAACTGGAGCAGACGAAATCTGGAGCTGCTGTGCATGGCAACCAATCAGCTTCCACCTTTCATTTCCAAACCTTAACAAACTGGAGAAGCTAACTGGTTGCCACTGGAGCAGATTCTTCTGCTCCAGTTTTGATAAATTCCCCCAAAAGTCCTCCGTCCAGCTGTGTAGCACCCATATCGTTAAAAGTAGAACACTTCGAGGCTGATTTATAAACCTTTCCATGTGCAAAGATCCGCGGCACTGTATGGCTACTAGATGGAGCCGAGGAGCGTAGATAAAGCAGCCCCTTTGCCATCTGTGTATTTAGCTGTTGGCTATCTGTGACCTTTAAAAAAGACCATTTGTAATGGACTTCAGCCATTCTTGGGGTTCATGGTCCCCTGGCAGGCAGGTGTCACCACTATTCCCTGTTCTACACCTTCCTACGTCACATATCTGCTCATTGGTGTACAGATCAGAAATGTGCTGATGCTTATATTCTGTCCAGCAGGTGACACAGGAAGGTTAAAAACTGAACCAGTATAAAGTGGTGTCACCCCACCGGCTGTGCAAATGTCCAAGTCACAAGATTGGCTGAGGTGAATCGTTCCCGTGTAGGTGATTCATCTTATGGAGAAATCCCACAATGGGAGTACAGTGTGGTGGCATGCGTCATGTGTGCTGAGACATGCGTAACATTGAACGGTTGCCGAGTATTAGTGATGTCACTATCTGACAGTATATACAATGTCAAAGCATCAAAAGGCTCAGGCAGCCAGGTCCATTATTCAGATCAATCGTGGTGACCGCGCTCTATTCCGTCACGCGTCGAGTGTGCCGCCGGCTGTACGTATCTCTTCACCAGCCGTAACATGTCTATCTGCAGGTCAATCTTCTTCTGTTCCGGCACTTTCTTCAAGTACGGGACCAGAGACTGCACAAAATTGTAATCTTCGTCCGTCTCGTTGTCTCTTCTTTTCTTAAGACAGTCAACCATGTCTATGATTTGGCTTTCAAAGTCCCCCAAGCCCTTGGCCCCCCCCTTGGTCTTCTTGGGTCGCGGCGTTTCGGACACTTGCGGAATGCGTTCTGGGAGAGGGCTCTGGGGTGGCTCAGAGTCGCTGCCTTCTGACTTGGGGCTCTCTTGTGTGTCTGAAGCTTTTCCGGAAGTACTAAAGATGAAGAGAAACATGAAACACTTCAAGCACTAGCCGCATTTGGGTTACATCCCACCACACACTTTACAATCAACTTTAGATCTAGCAACCATTATGGAATGCAGCGGCCCGCCTGATTGGATGCACACTGACTGGAGAGTTTAGGTCGGCTCTCCTAGTAAGTCTGAGCAGGGATACCAACAGTACTTCTCATACACAACCCAAAATTAGCAGGTGGTAAGCCCTGTACACGAGGGTGACAAAAAGGGGTGCACAGCGTGTTCCTCATGCCTAAATAGTGGTGCACAGTGCGTGTTCCTTGTGCTTAAAAAGGGGGGCACAGTGTGTGTTCCTCATGCTTAAAAAGGGGGGCACAGTGTGTTCCTCGTGCTTAAAAAGGGGGGCACAGTGTGTGTTCCTCGTGCTTAAAAAGGGGTGCACAATGTTTGTTCCTCATGCTTAAATAGTGGTGCACAGTGTGTGTTCCTCATGCTTTAAAAGGGGGGCACAGTGTGTGCTCCTTGTGCTTAAAAAGGGGGGCACAGTGCGTGTACCTCGTCCTTAGAAAAGGGGTGCACAATCCGTGTTCCTCGTGCTTAAAAAAGGGGTGCATAGTGTGTGTTCCTAATGCCTAAAAAGGGGTGCACAGTGTGTGTTCCTAATGCCTAAAAAGGGGTGCACAGTGGAGCAGATTTGCACAGCAGTCAATCAGCTTCTCCCTCTCTCATTTTCAAATCTTACCTGAGCAAACTGAAGAGAGAAGCTGATTGGTTGCTATGGGCAACTGCTCCAGTTTTGATAAATTCTCCCCCAATGAGTGTTCCTCATGGTTACAAAGGATGTGCAGTGTGTGTTCCTCATGGTTAAAAATGGGGTGCACAATATGTGGCTCATTCTTGTCCCTTCTTGAGACATTTAAGCTGAATTTATTTTCTCCAGAC